TTTATTTCAGGTCTCAGAGCAGAGATATTTATATATTTTTGAGATTTTACAAGCTTCTATCTAAACTTGTTTGCTACTTCAGATTACAATTACAATCTTTAGAGTAAAGTATCAATAAATAAACAAGTAAGAATAAGAGATAAGATATATATGATAAGTTAAATAATAATACAAATAATGAAATAAAATAAAAAGATAAGATATATATTCTAAAAAGAAAGAATAAATAATAAAAATAAATGAAATTCATTGCTGAACCATTTTTAAAGTATTTTTGAACTATTATTGAACCATTTATAAATTGTTATTGATTTCAGGGCTAATTATTCATTAATGATCTTAAAATATTACAAAAATATTATTGAATCATGATTAAATTCATAACTAATACATTAATTATATTATTCAAAATTATATATTTTCTAAAGATTAATTGATTAGTCAAATTTTTCAAGTTTGAAAAATTATGAAATTAAAGAAATTTATATTACTATAGTAATAATATATAAAAAATTAGTATAAATTATATAAATATTTATAAAGTTTAAAATAAAATTTATATAATTTTAAATAAATATTCTTGCTAATAAAATATTAAATTAGAGATAATATTAATATAATATTATTCAAAAATAATTAATATAGTAATATTTTAAAGTATTCTGAAGTAGTAACTATAAGAAAAAGAATTTTAGAAATATATAGAAGTATAAAATAAGATATATATTTAATAGTATATTAAAGTAAAATAATATATAAAAATATAAGAAATTATATTTTAATATACTATTATTAATAAATAAAAAAGAAATTAAAAAAATAGAAAAATTTAGAAAAATATATAAAAAAAGATATAAAAATAATATAGCCTAAACTAATTTGATATTTTATATCTTATTTTTGATAATTAAATAAATTATGAAAGATAAAATTATAAGAATAGTATAATATAATATTATATATCTTATTTAATAATTAAAAAATAGTAAATAAATTATAATATATTTTAGATAAATAAATAAATTGTAAATTTAATATTTTATATTTTAATTAATAATTAAGAAATAATAATTAAGAAAGAAGATATATAAATTATAAGTTTGATATTTTATATTTCAATCTGTTAATTAAATAAAAATATAAAAATAAAATTATAAGTAAGTTTGATATTAACTTCTAATAATTATATAAACTAATTTTAATATTTCTGATTTTTTAATTATAATCTTAAAAATAATAGAAGTAATGAAAAATTAACAAAAAGATTTTGAAAATATATTTATATATATTTTTTTAATATAATAAATTATAATAATTCAACTAGTATTATTTTATAATTTTGAACTAAAATAAAATCATGTGATTTGATTATATTATTTAATTATAATATAAATTTTATAACTAATATTAATACTATAAATTAGTTATAAAAAAATTAGAATATTAAAATTAAGTAAATAGTTAAAAAATAATAAAAAAAGAATAAAATAATAAAATTAAGCAAATATTTATAAAATAATAAAAAGATTGTAAAGTAATAAAATTAAGTGAATAGTAATAAAATAATAAAAAGAATATAGAATATAAAAATAAGTAAGTAAATAATAATATATATCAGTATAAAAAGATTAATATATTAATATAAAATTAATAATTACTTTTAATAAAAATTTTAATTATTTTAATTATTTTAATTTAATAATAAATAAAATATTACTTTACTAAATAAAATTATTTTTTTAAAAAAAAAGATATTTTAAATATTATTACTATTAATTTATAAAATCAAAACTTTAAATTATATAAGAAAATTATTTTAGATTTGATAAACATATATTCTAAATTTTATAAAATTAAATCAATAGTTATAAAGATATTAAGATTCAAAATTTAGTAATTAAATTATTTACTTTATAATTTCTATATTAATTTTAATTAAATTTTATATAGTAAAATTTAAAAAATAATAATTCAAAAAAGTTTATATTAGTAAAATTTTTTTTATAAAAAATATATAATAAAAATTTTTATATTTAAATAAATCTTAATACCTAATAACTTAATTAAATAAATCAGAATTAAAATTTTATTTGAAAAAATAATCTATTAATATTTATCTAATGTATTAATTTTTTTATATCAGATTATAAATTATAATTATTTAAATAAAAATATTTTAATTTTATTTAATTAAAAATTAAAAGTTTAAATACTAAATTTATTTTATATAATTAAATCACTTTATAATTACTATACTTAAAAAATTAATTATAAAAAATATAATTATAAAGAAATTTTTATAATTAATTAAAAATTAAAAAATTTAGAAAAGTTAATTATAAAAAATATAATTATAAAGAAGTATAATTATAAAAAAATTTATAATTATAAGTAAATTATAATTTAATCAAAAACTATAATTTATATTATTAATTTAAAATTAATCTTGAAATCTAATCTAAATTTTAATTTGATTTAAGTTTAAATTCAAAATTTTTTGAACTTTTTTCTGATTCAAATTCAAATTCAAAATACAAGTTTGAATTCAAATTGATAAACTTGAATTAAATCAGACTTTTTTTAGAATTTTAATAAAAATTTTAAAATTATTATTAATTATAAATAAATCAAGAATAGAAATTTTATAATTTTACTATAAAATATAATTTTTTAATAAATAAATTAAATTATAAAAATAAAATTCAAAATAAATTTTATTATAAAATTACTTATAATTAATTTTTTTTATTATAATTAGAATATTAAATTAGAATAATAAATATAAAACAAATTAATAAATTTAATATTTATATAAATTAAAAATTTTATATTTATAAATTATTAAAAAACTTTTTAATTAATTTATTTTTTTATAACTAAATAAATAGAATTAGTAATTTATGCTAAACTAAAATATTTGGTTCAAACATTTTTACATATTAATTTTCAAATCAAATTTGATTAATTATTAGATTTTTTGAAGTATGCTAATAAAAATAATCCAACCTAATTTTTTTGCATTAATTTTGATACTTCGGGATTTAATAACTAAACGAATCAAGTACATGGTTTATTAAGTCAGAATTCCTGATAACAAAAATATTTGGCGTTAAATTTTACTAATTAAAAATATTTATGTAGATTACTTAATTTCTTTAGAATGGCAACATTAATATATTTTTTAGGTTTTTTTTTTAGTCATTCTCTAGGTTAAATGAATATAGAAGCCAGGTACATTTAATTGATGATTGATGTTAGAGATTTTTTTTCGTAAAATTTTTAAAAGCCCAGTCTCCGCAAGAGATACAGCAGAGACGAATTGAAAACTGAATTTATATTATAAAGATGACGCCTAAATCATTGTTTCAGAAGAATCCCTTGAGGATTAGAACGCAAGGGTCTCTATTAGAAATACAAAAGAGAATTTATGTAAGGTCATGATGCAATCTTAGTGGTTGCATGCACAAGCTGGGTTAATAAACGCAGACTGAGTATGAAATTTTCCATCAGCTGTAGTGAAAAATATTCTAATTTTTCTCTCGAAAACATCTTGTTTCCTGATTCTTTGATGTGTTAACGTTAACAGCAATTCAGACTTCCCGTTAGTTCAAATTCGTTTTTATATAGCCTTTATGCAATGAGACTTTCCTTCTTCAATCTCTACTTTGAAGGCTTGTGCATATTGATGTTTTATTTGAGGATTGAGGTATACCTTTTAAAAGATTACTGTTTAGTTGATTTGTTGAGAAAGTGCTTGAATATAGCAATTCAACCGAATTGAAGCAATATTAAGAATTTTTAATTATATGCGAATAAATCTCTAGATTTTTTATTCATCTTAACGCACAAGAAATGCATAATGTGTAGTAAGCAATATGAATATTTAATGATCCATATGTATAAAAATATTCGGTAATAAATAACCTATTTAGATTTTAGTCCCCTTCCATCTCTACCAACATATTATCTTTTAATTTGCTTTGTCATCTTTCCCAGCTTCGGCATCATCTTTATCAAGCTGTGCATTCTCAAAATTGAAACGCATATAATTATAGTCATCTATCTCCATTTCGCTCTCATTTTTTTCGTCTTGATCCAATTTCGGGTCATCCTCAGTGGATAACTTTTGCGCTTTAGGAACAACGTCCATCCTAGAGAAACGAATCTTTTTAATCGTATGACACTTGTAAGCTAGGCTTATGCGAGGTGGCGGTCCCTCGTCTTTTGCAGTGAAATAATAGAAAATCCGTAAGGTTATGATAACAGTTATTATGTTTCAATAGAGCTTATGTACCTTTTCTTATGGTAAATACCAAATCAGTACCAATTGATTCATCCAATACCCCTTCAAAATGGTTATTGCCGATTTTCAAAGTAGGTTTTCCGTGTTCAAGGCCCTATTTTCAACATCAGAAATCTCCTTAAAAATGATTATAATCACGTCGCTGAGACCTTTCATTACATACCACAAATTGAAAATCGTAATCATTCGAGCCCATATTACTGCTATTATGGATGTTATTTTTAGGTGTGGGTGGTAATTCATCAATAGCTTGTGGTTTTGAACGCAAATTGTATCGTGTCTTCCTTTGTCCCTCATTACTTTTGATGTCATTTTCTGCTTTTTTTATTGATTCCGTATTATGGATATCATGATGATGTTGCTGTGTTTCTGATACTTTATTTTTTGCAGGGACCCATGGAATGTCAAGACTGTTGATTAATTCCTCATTTACATCTGTCCCGAGGTCCAATATCACGTATTCTACCTTCAAATGAATCACATATTTAGAAATGAAATATAATTTATAAAATGTGGGGAAAAAGGATAATGCAAATATATACATCTGTTTCCCATTCATCACTATCGCCCTCTTTTACTTCTTCATCTTCACTAGAGATATCAGAAAAATCATAGAATCCTCGTGGATCATTATCGTAGAACCAAACATCTTGATGACCTGGATTATCTGAATTTCTTCGTAAAGAAGCGAATGGATTATTAACGTTAATTGAATTATTTTCTAATTCATCACGAATCACTGCTTTGCCTTTTCCTTTATTTTTTGACATGTCAAAAGGTCGTACGTTCGAATCCCAGGAAGAAAATTTTTGTAATTCAGTGGATTATGTTTGCCTTCAAAAATTCCGTTATCGAGTTTCCGACTCCTGATGATCCGGCAAAATTGTGGATTTCGTGTGCAACCACAGAATGCAATAAAAGTAAATAATGTGCACCCCTCGTTATTAATAAAAATTGACACTATAAAAC